CGCTACACATAGGGAAAAATCACTTGCGGGTATTTGAAAAAAGTAAAGTTGACATTTCAAATTAAAGGTATTATAGGCGGAGATTACACAAACTGGCTTAATTAAGGTGGCTCAAAACTTTAATGGGACGTTTTAACGTCGGCAAACAAAATGATAAAGCCGGAATACTAATGGGCAGATCTGCGTGGTATATATATATATATATATATATATGTAATATTCAAAACTGTCGACTTAATATTCTTCCATCTAATCCGCAACCTGGTGAAGGCTACGAAGAAGAGAAGTTATACTAAAGGTTTAAATCCTAATAATTGATTAATTAGCATAAAATGCCCTAAATATTTAGTGCTTTTTTTCTCAAAAATTATGTATCATTTTATACTGAAGTGTCATATTTCTAATTAACTGTATTCTTAATATTTTGAGTATTATGTTTTAAAAACACAAATAATGTATTTTAGCAATTTTGAGGAGCAGTCAACTTCTATGCATTACTTCTCAAATTACTATAGTAGTGGGCCACCTACCTGACCAAAAATACCTAAAGCAATTTGAAATTCATATTAATTTTGAATTATAAGATTTTGTGTTTAATTTATAGTTTAACAAAATTATTATTTTATTAGTAACGGTTTATTCTGCTTTATTATAGTCAAAACTAGAAGCGAGCAACGTGGCCCGCTACCGTGGTAGCCAAGATTTAGTCTTAGTGATATGTGTATTATATTTTGCTGTAGGACGGTAGTTGAAAGAAGGCCCACCAGCGGCCGAGCGGTTAAGTCGCTGGATACTGGTAGTTCGACCCGAACTTTGATTCCCCAGGCGAACTGGCTACCTTCATGGGCATTTTCATTTTTTCCCCGTGTGTAACGTGGATACGAGCCAGCTTCCCTTAGAACGCATTCAAAGAATGCATCCCTCCGTTTAGGAAGATAACTAGCGCGTGCTTTGCTATAATCAAATAAACCAAACCAAAACAGTAGCTAGAAGAGACGTGCAGCGTTATATTGAAGAATTAAAAACGAACAATAATGTATTTTGAGAAGGATAATAACGTCCATTCAATAAGTAATGAAGTATTACCATAAGACGCTTGCCAAGAGGAGCTGAAAGAAGCAACATTCGCTACACAAAGGCCTATGTAATTCGTTTTTGACGGATCAAGAACATAATGGATCAAAGCTATATGAAATACCGGGTTTCCTGTTTCAAATGAAACATAAGGCTAAACTAGCGAAATATGGGGAAGTGACTTTCTGAGGAGGAAATAACGTTCCAGGAGAAAAATAACTTGAGACACTTTTGAAAGGTTATTCCAGTATCAGTGCAGACCAGCTGAAACTTATTTGCAATTGGGTAAGGATTATTACAAAAAGCATAAACTAATTTCTAGATTTGGCACTTGAAGATGCTCTTGTAGCAAATTTGATGTTGCATTACTTAATTCATGCAAATTTTTGAACTATGAGAAAATTGCTTTCTTTTTAATCTCAAGCCAGAAAAAGAGCATACTGAAAGTTGATGAAAAAAAATTGCTTACCGTTGAAGAAATCGATGAAAATTTTAATTTAACTGCTCTTCTATTAGTCAGTGTACTTGGCTAACTTGTATCAATGAGAGCGCTTTATAGTTAAGAAGACTTCAAAAGTGTGAAAATTTCGCTCAGTAAACTTTGATTATTTAATGTGTTTTCTCCCCTAATCTCAGTAGAGAAGAGTCACTTGAACCAGTTAAACGAAATCGCAACGATACTGTTGAATCTGTTAAAGAGTACCAGCTTATTCAAAATAGGCAACTTGAGTCCGTTTGGAATGCTGTGCACGCAGTGTCATTGAATACTGTCATTACGGGATTATTAAAAAATATACCAACTTTTTTCAAGAGATATCGTTTTAGGCCAGAAGTGATAGCTGTAAAGAAAATGAAGAAGAGAGAGAAGCTTCTTAAACAGCTGTGACTTCTTCTCAAATGCTTTAAGATTACACACAAATGAAATAAAAATATTAAATCTGCAGGGGAAAAAAGAAAGAAGGAAAACACAAAAGGAAAAGAGAGTCAGAAATTCGTCCGAATCCTTCCTCCTATGTAATTCTAGGCTTCTACTTTTCGAAGAATGACACGAGTTGATTCACTTGCGGAGGAAAATTATGAGACAGAGGGTTCTATCCTGGAAACGTCTCAGATGCAGTGTTGCCAGAACGTTTTCAACTAAAGTAGCAAAAAAGAACTCAAAAATTCGCAAAAAAGTCGCAAATGACGTCAGAGATCCCGTGATTTTTGTGACGTCATACTTACTTCGATCCTTAGTTGTTTTAATTATGTATCTTAGCTTTAACGAAAATTTGAAAACTATATTGAAACCTTTTGTAATTAATTCTCATTTAATTTAGATTTCTGTTTTTAAATTAATTTGTAAGATATTCCTCACGTTTAGGTTGTTAATGCTTTTGTACTAAATTTTTTGAGTTGGCAGTTAATTTTTTTTAATCTAGTTTTTTTTCCCTTCTTAATTGGGAACCTTTTAATTGAGGAATGCTTTTCAGTGAGTTTTCCCTTTCTGTCTGGTGGGCTTATTTCAGATTCTGATTACTTAAAAAAGCCTTTCATTGCTAAATTTATTTGTGTTGTTATTTAGAAAAATGCAGTTGCTTTGATTTTTAAGTCATTTCTATTCTTTAATTCTTAGCAATATTATAATCAGGAAGATGAATTTTATTTCTTTCTCTGTTTGGGTACCCAATATATGGCGCTCAAGATAAAAGTTCTTTTGTTCGATTCGTTATGACCATAGATCTGAGGGGGGGGGACTGTCTTAAAAACAAAATTTGTAGAACACTAAAATCATGAATATTAGCGTTAAGGTACATAATTCTGTGTTTTACAAGGCATTTTAAGATATATTAAAAAAATCTTTTAAGTCCCAAAAAGTAGCATAAGGAAATGACGGAGGTCGCAAAAACTTCACAAAATCGCAAATACTAAAATTTTAGTAGCACAAGTTTGTCAAAAGTAGCAAATTTTGGCAAAATCTCAAGATCTGGCAACACTGATTGAAACGACTGATTAACAATAACCAGAGCTATATATGCAATTACCACAGAGCTCTCACGTGGAAATAAATGCGGCGCAGCGCTGCAAAATTTGCATAGTATTCAGTGGCACTTCAGTGTATAAGTCTTCTTGTTAAGATGGATGTAAATAAGCAGCCAACTAAAAAGGACATTAAAATTGGAAATTAATGTTTGAAAAGCTACTGAAAAATTAATTCCCTCTACATGTTAAACATATAAACTATAAGTATTAAAGAAGAGCGTAATATACACACAAAAGTAGAGATATGTCTAGAATAAAAAACTACATGTTTTGACAATCTCTATTTACTATAAAGCGAGTGCATTTACGCTATGGCAAAGTGGAAATTCAGTCAGTTAATAAAATTGTTATTCTAGTTTAAAAGTCAAAAGCTATACAATATTTTATAAAGGCAATGCTTGAATAACACCATTTTAGAGAAACTCTCAGTGGTCGCGAATTCCATATTAAAATTTAGCGTAAAATGGTCCTTTAAAAATCCAATTAATGTTTCATATGCTCAAATCTATGTTAACCAGTATTTGAATTAAATAGGAATTTCAGATCAGCGAATGCTACCTGAACCAATTTTATTCATTAAAATAATCACGTTTGAGAGAAGCTGTTTTAAGTCAATCATGATTTCTGAACTTATTAGTTAAATAAATCATTAAATAGAAGAAAACTTCATTCTTGTTCGAGAATTCCTTCTGATGATTTCAGTCTAAAAGAAAGAATCATTTTCTAGGTTATTCTCTTGCAAAAATAAGAGTTATATGCAAAATGTAAACTGATTAATAAGCTAAAATGTGGTAGTTGATGCAAATATGGTTATGCTTTAAAACTGATTTTTTATCAGAAAGTACTTATATGAGACTAGATACGACATTAAGCGTACAAATCTTCCAGGTCATAACGTTCCAGGTCTCTTCGGTTGATGACGCATACCCAGAATATAATTTAATTTATTTAATTCTCAATACGTGAGTTTAAGATTTAGACCAATTGTTATAACCTATGTTACGAATTTTTGTGTCTAGGCTAGTAAATCTCTAGGCTAGTTTGAAGAATATTGGTAAGACACTGGTTTATTTAAAGCGTTTAACAACCAGTGTGTTATGCTTAAAATGAGATCTAATTTCATCTGGTGGAACGATTTTTCAAGTGAATGTGGATCTTTGGAATACTAAATTAAATTGATTTTTCGTATATCCACACGATTTTGCAATTCATCAAGTATCAGATTATGAGGCATGATTTTTCCAAAACCTTTACCCATCCCTAAATCTTGTTCAAATGAACTAAATGGCTGATTTTAGAATATCTAAGCGCAGAGAAGACATAAATATATCTACATGTATCATAATTCATCATTGCCAGCTTTAACTCCTTCTCAGTTCGTTCCAAAAATGAATTATGATCTGAAATATTGTCACCTCTTCGATCTTACATGACGTGTTTCTCCGTTGGATTGATTTCATCCAATTCTTGACTGCTGATATGCTTAATTATCCAATGCTTTCTTCAAGTGACTTTCAGCAATACCTGCACATTTGTCTAATACTACGTCAATGTTCAGGAAAAACAGGTTGCTCGATTTCACACAATGAATTAATTGAATATTTTTTTAATTCACCATTAAATTTAACTGTTTGGTACATTAGGGCGAAGAATTAGAACACTTGCAGAACATAAAGCAAAAAGTAGCCAAGTTTGTATCAACTGAAGCAATACGCCGAAGAGAGTATTTGAAGGAAGTTTGCTTTAACTGAAGTATTACGCTTAAAAGCGTATTCAATGTAAAACTGAAAACTACACTTCCGGGTACTTAATTTTTAATCTTAGTTATCGTTTTTATTCCTATTATCACTTTTCCTTAAAAGAATTTTCATTGCATCTGTTGACTGATGGTACGCTTTTACTAGGTTATGGTGGCAGCTGTTAGTTATGGTCTGTCAGAGATCGAGCATATACAAATAGCTGTGACAGAATTCAATCAATTCGCACCGCGGTTTGAAAGGAGGAATTACACTATAGAACTGCATCCAACGGCTTCCTTGAATTCTCAAGTACTGACAGTTAAGGCTACAGATCCAGATCCAGCTCCTCACAATGCCGAAATTTACTACAGAATGGACCAGAATTCAACTAGCAAGTACTTCAGTTTAGATTCCTTGACTGGCAAACTGTATTTGATCCAAAGTATCAACGAGACTACTCCATCAATTCATTTCGGAATTTTCGCAGAAGACGGTGGGTCCCCTAAAAGATGGGATTATGTTCCGGTCAATGTAGTACTGAAATCTATATCAGGTAAGATTATAGAGAGTTTTTCTGTTTTATCATCGGTAATATAGTGTAGTTTAACAAGCAGTCACAAATATGTGACTGCTTGTTGAGTCCCACTTGTATTAATAACATATACTAAGTCAACACTCCTATGTAGATTTAAGCGACTCATGGCTATGTCTAGACAATCACAGAAACGTACTAAACTGTAAAGGACCCTTCTATTAAGAGCTTAATAAGTTGAATAGAAGGCACATCCGCTGCTTACAAATTATCCAGCATTTCTGGCGTGAACTCGGAAAGTAGAATTTTAAACTAAAACTAAATCTTTGTTAGCCAAAGGCTACGTAGAGATATTTAAACGCACAAGTTGGCTCTTAATCTACACCAGCGGGACAGCACAAATGCGAGCTTAAACGAGCACTGTAGCCAGGAACGCTAAAAGTAGACCAAGAGCTAGTAACACGGCCTTCAGCAGGCAGAACACGCTCTGATTAAAACAATCTCAAACTCTCATTTAACTACATGCTATCTAAATTTGCATTCTGGCAAGAAAGCAGAAAGAGAGAATCTAAAGTATAGATTCTTAACATAAAATAACTGGTAAACATAAATACCTTACATGCTTTTAGCAGTTTTGGTTAAAGGCAGGTTTGAAAAGATATTAGCGCATGGTATATTGCACTTGAAATATGACTTCAAAAAAACGCAAGGTAATTTCCAACCCACTGTCATCACTTTTATGCGCTATGATATCCAATCCGATCAGCTATGACTAAGAATTTTTATTCAGCGTTTAGGACGATGCAATCTCCATTGGTAATATTAAAAGTTTGATTCCTTTTAAATGCATAGCAATAACATTTTCTTCGAAAATACTGTAATTAATTTTGCTTATTTATAGTTGTTGGAGGATATGAAGAATCTCAGGCGGTTTTTAAACGATGCGATCAAACTGATTCTCTCCATCGAGGAAGCCGTCGTTTGTTTTGCTCTATTCCATCAAACATATTTCCTTCAGAAAGCTTTAAGAACCATTTAACTTTTATTTTCACCATAAATACTCAGGAAATAATGATCCACAACGTAAACGTAATAAGCTACGCCTCCCTTTAAATATCAAAGAAATGTCCAATGCCATTCATACGAAACATTTTTTTTTAGAAATTGGCATCCAAGAAAGACGGTTTTAGTTTTCATATCCCACACTTCCATCATGTTCTAATTCCTTTAACCTAAGTTCATATTTACACCATTCGAATTGTAAGGTTTGTCCTAAGTTTTTAACAGTTAATATTTAGTTTAAGTCACGTTCCTGTCGCTTCTTAATTTCAGCTTACAATTTACGGCCAGAACGTGTTTTCAGAATCGCGGTTAAATGAAAATGAAGGAAGAACAAGTATTTAAAGTTGAAGTTCTAGTGACTTCTTTAGAGAGACAGAGATTCTGAGCAGCGCGCGTTCGCGTTTTACTCTACTCACTCTCTTTAAGCTATTTTTACGATCGGCCGTACCTTAGGCCCTTGATAGCTTCGCCGTTTAGTTAGCGCTAAGGCGCCAACTCTTTTAGAATCTTGATAGCTTCGGGTATATCTTTAAGTTAGTTAAGTTTTATTTCTTAGTATTCCTGAGTTCAAACCCAGGCTTTGCTGTAAACTCCAAGAAGGAATCAACTGTTAAATTTATTTTGAATAATAAATGGTAATTAATCCTTCGTACTTTTACATTTCTATCTTTTTGAATTAAGCAATTATTCGCTTACCAGTTCTTAAGGTTCCTCATTTTTAGCTGTAACTTAAAGGTTGAATCTTACAGAATGTATATTTCTAACAGTGCCTACAAAACGTGGCTCTCTAAATGTTAACCCTAAATTTAAGGTTTTACTCACCACTTCAACTTCTAAAAAAGCAGAATATGATTTGAAATTTACGAGACGCAATAGCCCTAATCAGTATAATTGCAAAAATTACTGCGCTTCTGAAATATTAATAAAGATACAAAATTCGGGAGAAAGTTCTAAGTGGAATAATCTTAAAAGCCATTCGAAACACTTAAGGTGAACACAATCCATATAAAAATTTGTGGTCCTAAAGACTAGATATACGATCCCAGCCTTTCTCTTTCTCTATTTCTTTTAAATTTATTTGGCCATTTAAAATTTCACCCCCACAAACGCATTTAAAAACTAAGTTAATTTGTCATCCCTTTAATAATCTTAATTTTGTTTTCACTAGTGTTTTGAAAAACTTTAATTTAATGAATTTTTGATTAAAAACACAAATGGTATAATAAAAGAAATTTTATATACTTACTGGAATGAAAGATTGTTAACTAAAATATGCTAAATACTAAATGAAATATTATGCTGGAATATAAATATGTTAAGTTGGAGTATTCCGAACACAAGCACTATGTAAGCTTTTCACCTACTACAGCCTTAAAATTTATATTTTGGTCACAATGTTTTCATTACATGCGAACACGAAGGAAAAGAAAAATTAAATTTGAATATTATATTAAATTTAAACGGAAGTGCTGGCGTTGGAAATCAAAAATCATAAATTAAAAATCAGCAGATTTTGTTGAAGGTTTCAATGAATTTAAATGCTGAACAAGATTTTTAGAAAACTACAGGAAATGAAAATTGCAATGGCACTCAGCATTGTATTAACAACCCAAAAGCACTCAGCATTGTATTAACAACCCAAAAGCACTCAGCATTGTATTAACGCAGAAACATTTATTACCTTTCGCTTTTTCTAACATCATATCCAAAATTCATATTCTTTAGGGCGAAATTTTAAAGTTTTCTTTTTAAAAAAGTACTGGTACTAAATGAAAGTCCATTGACAAGAGATGCTGTAATTTCTCTAAAACTTGGTATCTGATGAGATTTTAAGGAGTTAATTACAAATTTTATTAATTAAAGAAAAAAATAGTCTTAAAAGGCTGAAAATAAAATGTTATAAAATCTAGAAGGTGTTGAAAGGCAGAATTGCAAAGAATTCTTCGGAACTTTAATTTTTAACATTAAACCATATATTCCTTTTATCAGTCCAAAAGACAAAATATCTTTGAAGAAAAATGTTATTTCGAGTACTGTAAGCTTCTAGGTATAACTATTTTCAATAGAAGATAAAAGTTATCAAATAGTAGTAGTGAATAAAATTAAGTAGACTAGCAGTGTCACAAAATTCTTAAACAAAATGCTTGCTTCGTTATCTTTGAAGAACCTTCTGCTTTCTACCTTTCTAACATCAAACTGGTTTAAATTTTGAAGTTATATTTTCAACTTAAAATACTAGCTAATTCCACTTATTGCTAAGTATACTACACCTGTGATTCCTCCTTAACATTATGAATTCATGGACCTGTATCATATGCTTTAAATTTTAACCGGCCCTTAATAATTAACTTCATACTTTTACTTAACAGTACAAAGTAAGGAAATATTTTCGTATATAAAAATATTTACATGTCGCTATGAAAATTATTAGAATTCCGAATTTACAAAAACAATAAAAAAATTGCAATTATAAAATTTTGTGAAGTGTAGAATACGTTTACTACTACACAAAACATTTTTTTGCCGAGTTCTGACATTTTTTTTTTTTGCCTAATTTTAAATATATACTGCTGCTTCTGCCTGTAGAAGGAATGGTGTTATTACTTTATCACTAGATGAGCGATATTCTGTTCAGTGTTTGTGCAAGTCTGTTATATGTAAACGTTCTTCAACACCAAATCGATTTCAATGCTTGCTTTTTATGTTCGCTTGGCTAGAAAAATATTTTTTTTAGAAATATTGTGAGAATTATATATTATTAATTAATTAATCAATTAAATATATTCTGAGAAGAAAAGAAATAGCCTGAAAACATTTTTCTGCCATTCTGTGTGCGTAATCTTCCCTTGCACAACCCAAAGGTTATTCCGCTTAATAGCCAATGCCGTCGAACTTAAGCATTATATATTGATCCATTTGTGAACAAGTCAAGGTATCAAATCAGATTCGTAGAAAATCAAATGTGAGTTTAAAAAAATATTTACAAATCCCTTATCTTTTGATTCTCAGGCTGGGGAACCACTGTTTAAGTACACTACTCTGGACTTAATGCCTCACATAAAATTCAGGAAACTGGAATTTCGTTTTATCTCATTATTTATAATTTAGGAATTCCCTCATATCCATCCGCTAAGCATGTATATAATCTCCAGATTTTCTTCATACTTTCTAGCAATATTTGAAAGAAAAAATGCATTTCTTTTAACTTTTCCATAAATCTAAAATTATTTCTTTAATTAAAAAATATTTCTAGCACATTCAAGGTATCCTTTGACGATGAATTATTATTCACTAATGTTATCGTAAAAGCTCACTAAAGTGCCTTAATTTTAAGAATTTCGTTTCTTATGAACTGAAACTGAGAAATCAGTCCCCTTTGTTTAACTTCAGAAACTTAAAGGAGACACATTTTGTTGTTCAAATTAACTTCTATTACAAAACATAAAATTAATCATTTAAAATACCTGCTCAGACCTATTTCTACTGATATTTACATGAATAATTCCGAAGCTTATAAGGTATTTTCTCCCTCCTTTCAGCATGTCTTTGTAGTGTAACTAGAGACAAACTCGATGCATATGTGAGAGGCCCGGAGTTCGAGTCTCGGTGGGGGCATTGGCATTTTTCACGTCTCCAGCATCAGAAACCATAATGATTCTGCAAGCTTAAGTTTTTTTTAATTTGCTTTCCTTTTCATTTATTAGTTTCGTTCAGCTGATGACACGATCACACATTTTTTTTTTTTTTTTTTTTTTTCACAGGAGGAAAGAGGTTTCAACAAATACCTTAGCTATTATGAAAATCTCAGTGAACTTTGCATTTATCTCTCTTTTCCCTCTCTCACAGTTTCTCCGTTCCCCTGACATTTTAAAACATGCATTAAACTAATTTCAGCATGCAATCCATTGGAAATCATTATGCATTCGCATTCCTCATGTTAAATCTATTAATAAATTCTT